AAAGGAGAGAGAGAGAGGGAGGGAGGGAGGGAGAGAGAGAGAGAGAGAGAGAGAGAGAGAGAGAGAGAGAGAGAGAGAGAGAAAGCAGTTTCAATTGGCCTTTGGAGTCCTGCACCTGTTTAGGAGTCTAACCCAGCTGGAGAAGCCCTGCCACAGTCTCACTGATGTAAAAGCCTCTCTTAAAGGAGCCAGCAGGTGTTTTGACTTATATGGTAAGGAGCTGATGGTTCGTTTCTCCTAGAAAAATCTGTGACTATGATTATTGAGAATAGCAGGTAACTTCCTAGGTTCTCTTAGGGCAGCAGGTAGTTTCCTAGGTTTGGCTCCCGGCAACATTCAAAACATCATTTCCTCCACTGATAGAAAGTTTCCCACTCATCGGCTCTAAAATCTAAGGATAGAGGTAAGGGCATGGTGGCTCACACATATAAGTCCAGCACTCACTTCAAGGGGAATCAGGAGTTCCAGGCTAAATTGGGTTACATGAGATCCTTGTGTCAAAATAACAACAACAAACCACCCAAAACAACAACAAGCAACAAAAAACAAAACAAACAAAACTAGAAAAATATTCCAAGTGGTTAAACTGAATTACTCCAATCGCGTCCCAGACCATTACGACCAGCCAGCACTTAGTGGGGAGCCATAGCTTGTGTTTCAACAGGCCCATCCACTGTCTACACTGGGAGGGATTTGGAACTACTGTTTCCGTACAGCTTAATAAGGTAGAGTCCCGCTGGCTGACACTAATTGCGTATTTCTGATCACCATAGTGACCGGTGGGCAGGAAAGGTGAGGTGGCCCTTTGGAACTACATTTCCCATCATGCATCAGGCCCAGAGTGCCAGGCTCACGCCGAGGATCGAGATCTTGGCCGATAACCGGGCTCCAGAAAAGATCCAGGATGAACAGCGGGCAAGAGGGTGGTCTCTCTCCTCTTGCCCACCGGGTTGGGTCGCACGTAACCTAACAGACCTCTCAGGCCTAGCTTGCCATCGGCACCGCCACACCGGTCTAATATGGCCGCTGGTGATGGGACCGGACTCGCGCGTAAAGAGCCTGGACTAAGTCCGGAGCCGGAGACCGCTCCCGGCATTCCTCGCGGACGTAGCGTGGGCACCCTTCCCCCACTTCCGGGTCCCAGGAGAAGGAGACCCTGGGGTCTTGAAGAGTGTCCCGAGGTTCCGCTGTTTGGTGCTGGGCGAAGAGTAGCTGGCCATTCTGGGCAGTGAATCACTGGCCTTGGGTAGCAAGGTGTAAGAGAGAAGATAGGTCATCAGCATCATGGTTATCAGTAGTAGGATTTAACTGGAGACTTGTCACCATTGTTCAGCCCGCTGAGACCTCGAAGTAGAACTTTGTGTCACTGAAGCAGAGCTCTGAGACAGTGTATATACATCTTAAATTCATCCAGGACTAGTGGGTCTTTGCTGACTAGTCCTCACCTTGAGCACTCAGTGAATTCTTCACAAACGTGTGTTGCAGGTTATTAACATGGCCCAGGGCTTGATTGAAGTGGAGCGAAAGTTTGCTCCAGGGCCTGACACGGAGGAAAAGCTGCAGGAGTTGGGGGCCACCCTGGAGCACCGGGTCACCTTCCGAGACACGTACTATGATACTTCTGAGTTAAGCCTTATGCGGTCTGACCACTGGCTGCGTCAACGAGAAGGTAGAGGATGGGAGTTCAAATGTCCTGGAGTAACAGGTGTCTCAGGACCTCACAATGAGTATGTGGAAGTCACATCGGAATCTGCAATTGTGGCCCAGCTCTTTGAACTGCTGGGATCTGGGGAGCAGGAGACTGCAGGTGTGGCTGCTGTTCTGGGCCCATTGAAACTGCAGGAAGTAGCTAGTTTTATAACTACGCGAAGCTCCTGGAAGCTGGCCTTATCTGGAGCCCATGAACAGGAGGCTCTGCTCACAGTGGACTTGGATTCAACGGACTTTGGCTATGCTGTGGGTGAGGTCGAGGCCATGGTGCATGAGAAGGCTGAAGTACCGGCTGCCCTAGAGAAGATCATCAGCGTCAGCAGCATGCTTGGTGAGGGAGACAGGCCTTGTGTACTCAGCAGC